CCAAGAAGTATATTCACCAGTAGTAAGATACACTTCTATTCGTTATTTGTTTGCTTTAGCAGCACAGAATGACTTGCAGATCTATCAAATGGATGCTGTGTCAGCATTTCTTCAAGGAAAAATAGACACTGATATTTATATGCTACAACCAGAGATGTATATTGAAGGAAATCAAGTATGCCATTTGCGTAAGTCTTTATATGGACTCAAACAGGCAAGTAGACTGTGGAACATCAAATTAAGCAATGTCTTGAAGGAACTGGGAATTATGCAATCTAAAACTGATCCATGTATTTACTACAACTATGAAATTAATATTTATGTTGCTGTGTGGGTCGATGATATAATTATATTCGGCTCACAACCAAAAAGTGTTAATAATCTAAAGGCAAACCTGTGCACCAGACTAAAAATGAAGGACCTAGGTGAAGCTAAACAATGTGTGGGCTTAAATATAACTAAAGGAAAACAAGGCATCATGCTGGACCAAGAAAAATATATATCTGAAATATTATTAAGATTCAACATGACAGCCTGCAAACCTGTAAAAACACCTCTAGAAGTTGGACTGAAATTCAATGACAATGATGAAGATTTATATGAATGTCCTTATCAGCATGCTATTGGCTGTCTGTTATATGTGGCTCAAGCGACGAGACCTGATATTTCATTTGTTGTGAATACTCTTAGCAGATATAACAAAGCACCTAAATCTGAGCATTGGTCTGCAGTAAAGAGGGTACTGAGATACCTACAAGGTACTAAACATTATAGACTGACTTATACCAAGACCGGTCAATGTGATATTACTGGTTATTGTGACGCCGATTGGGCGAGCGATGTGCGTGACCGTAGGTCATGCACGGGTTATGTTTTTTTATTGCAGGGTGGAGCTGTGTCGTGGTGCTCGCGCAAGCAGCACACTGTGGCCCTATCAACGGCGGAAGCCGAATATATGGCTATGTCGGCGGCAGCACAGGAGGCGCTATGGTTGCAACAATTGCAAGGAGAGCTCCGGGGGCAGTCTAACCGCACTCTGATCATCCACAGCGACAACCAAAGTGCGATTAAGCTCACTATGAACGACTGTTACTTACCAAGATCCAGACACATAGATATAAGACACCATTTCCTTAAGGAGCATGTGAATAATGCTAGATTAAAATTTTGCTTTATAAAAGGTTCAGAAAACGTTTCCGATATATTAACTAAGGGGACCTCTTTAACTAAACATTTATATTGTTTATTGAAGATGGGGTTGCGTTCAGGGGAGGGTGTTGATTTGTGAACGCAACCTTAATGAGTTCTTTTTCTCTGTGGGTGGTGGCGCTGTTGTCACTTCCCCTTTTGCTTTCCGACATCTTGTTTCGTTTTGTGTAATCCGGTGCTCGAATAAATAATTTCTCACTAAGCTACACGTTTTTCACTGCTAATCTCTACAATAACTCCCATTGGTGGTTTTAGAACTTTGTTTTAAACAATTATGAATTTTCATTATTATAATAACTTTTATAATATTATTTCATCATCATCAGCTCACGCTCGTCCACAGCTAGACATAGGTCTCTTTCAAGTTCGATCTCGTTCGGTTAGGTCTCGCGGTCTCCACTTCAGAGTTATTTTGCCCCAACAATTGATAGTTCTAGAACTAACTAAGTAATCCTTCAGAGAAAACTCCGACCATAACCCTATCCATAGCTAAAGACTTTCAGTGTTTGCACAATAAAGATATACAGTTTCAATCTGTATATCTTTATTGTTTCAGTCTACCTAGAACTTTTCTATGGTCATAATAAATCAACAAAAAAAGCGATATTATTGTCTAATCTCAAGAATCGTACAAGGAAGTAGGTTCAAAGTCAGCGGCTCATAATATACTATAAACAAACGTAAATTAATTTTAATTATAGTTATTATGGTGGGTATTGCGGCCTCCGAGGGTTGATTAATAGCCATCTTCTCGTAACAGCCTCTCTAATTTGCATACAAATTCATTTCGCAAAACTAACAGTGAACTAGGGTAATACAACTACTAGTCGGTACACGCATTATTAATTATGGTTATCAACTATTTGATCAAACTGATAGATATCTGGAGCTTTACCACTGTGTCGAATCACTTAAAAGAGAGTTACTTACATATTCATCCCTTTCTATCTTTACTCCACTCGATCCCTTTCGAGATAGAGAGGACTGATCGCCATAAGACACGGTCTTTCACTTTTCAAACATCTTCCACTTCTTGCACTATTATGGAGTACACAATATTATAGATATTAGCAGCAGCACCCCACAACAATAGGTCATATGTTAAATAAGCATATCATTATAATTCAAACTATGGCATATTGATAGAAAAAAACACCGGTCGCTCGTGACTGCACTTTCGAGCCCGATGACCGACCTCAACCGAAAACAGTCATTAATACCATCCTAAACAGTTTGTTTTATGAAGTTGATCAATGTAAATAGTGTACGTGGCATGTAAATCAACGCAAATCGAATTACATACGCTAAACCTGTTGATCGGTGCCGGCGGCGGCCGCTTGTTTTAACACACGCTCCGTCAAAAATCACTGATTAATAACCAATGATAACACTTGTGGCTGTCAAACAACATTTTATGAATAATGTTTCTCTATAATTTTCGTAAACTCCACTCGTTTACATATGTAATGTCTCAAATAATAAAAAATTGAAATAATGGATGTTTGTATCTTTGTTAAATTTGGCATACCAGATTGGTATACCAGTAATTTTAATACGGATTCGAAAATAAACATTACTACAATAATGAAACATTATTATTCCAATATAGAAATGTTTATAAGTAAATATGGACCTGAGTACTTTACTGGGATACTTTTTTTATTTAATTACACATAATTACATTCAACTCTCGGTGGCCATGATACTAATATCCGAATAACTAAGCAGAGCAGAAGTTTCGGACGGTCGATTAACCAAACAATCAAGCTACAGTAAACAGTGAAACCGGGCGCGAGCCACTAGCAGGTACTTACCTAATGTCACGACCAAAACAAACATCAAGCCAATAATGTTGTTATAGGACTAGACATCGGTACAGATAGAGTAGGGCATCAATGTGAATGTCATCAGTTTGTAACCATAGTCAATAAAAGCCCTAAACCATTTAGTATGTGAGTTCTAAATAGCAAACCTGTAAAAAATTTATGCCTAGCTGATCATTTAAAACAGTAAAAATTACAACTAACTTCAACAAATTGAAATATTATATTCAACAACTAAATGGCAGTTAACAAATTAAAAAAGCTTTTCAAATCAGTTTCAATATTTGAATAAAAATTTATTTGTTAATTCAATATGACGCTGTGTAACATATACCAAAATTTCTAATATTAAAATCACACTTGCCACTTGCCTCTTGCCAAATGCACACTTGTCTCATCCAATGAGTAGCCACAAACAATCCAACACAGGATGACAATCATTTCCCGAAGGGCGTTGGCGCCCAAGATGTTTAGTTTTACAAATGGCCGCTCCACCCACGCCATACACTGTCACACTCGTATTATAAATTATAATCGATGGAATGCAGCCACATGCAATCGATTGCTGTATAGTAATGATACATCGTAGGCAAAGCCCTTCGTAGGCAAATAGTAATGGTAGCCAGTAACTAGGCCGAAAGAGTTGTTTTATTTTTTTGTAAATAAGGTTTTTTTTACTCGGAAGGGTAGTTTTAAATGGTTTTTGTACAGAATAGTAACAATAAATAAGGAAGGCTGATGGATGTCTGTTAAATCTTAGCAAACTTACATATGCATTATCGAGAAAACGTCATCTAATGACATTAAAAATTAAATAAATATGTCAAGTAGTACTACTACGAGGCCCTTTGACAGCCACACAACTAGTACATTTACGATACCAATCTAGTAGAATATCTCTTTGATCTTTAACAGAGTCCGTTTCACTCCCATGTGATTTCCTGAGCATCCATCATGATATAACTTGAGCACATCAGGTATCTTACTTCTGGGCACAATCATCTCCTAGGTGGTCCTCCTTCTAGGTGACAATTGTTTCCCTAGGCATTTTCCCATGTGCGGTACAGAATTCCGTCTTTCATAACCGGGCTATCCTATTTTGCCTAATAACTTTGTGACTGGACTCTTTGCAGCCATCTCATTCTATTTGGGTCTCGGTGTACCAGTCTCGAACCACTACATATCACTTGGTGCAGTAACACAGTTTTGAAATCCTGAGGCGTATCTCGAGATATTACTCATGATATGTCAGTGCGTTTCTTAGCAATGAACATATGGAAATACATATTTACAAGTTTAATCTTAAACAATGAAGTAATTCTTTATCAATAGTTATATTAAACAGAGGAAAGATTTGATTTTTTTGTTTGCATCGAACAGGTTAAAAACGACTGTATTGATTTTTAAAATTCTCTCACCTACCGGGAGTTACATCATTCGCTGTTTACGTGGGCGAAGTCGCAGGAAGATAGCTAGTAATGTATAGGACCTATAAATAATTAGATGTTTAACAAAGAAAAATGAACACGAAATGTTATTTTTTTTGTGAATTTTGTAGTTTATTACAGCTATCATAATTTTTATCTTCTAAAACCAGTCTGGAGAGTTTCAGGATCAGATAAAAATAAAGTTAAGGGTTAAGTAGCCTTGAATTCGACAATAAGATGACTTTACCAGTACTAGTAAAAAAAAAAAAACTAAATATCGATTACGTCGCTGTCAATAGAGAGAACTTATTATTTCTATCAATTGTTATCATTCTCTTGTACCTTAGGGAATCTTTCCATTCCTTACTGATCTCCTCTCTCAGTGGTCTTATGGGCACCATCTCCTTCTATTTTCGCTAGTGCTTTGCTTGCGATTTTCGACACAAGATCTCCTTCAAAATGCGTCATCGTCTCTGCTGCTTTGAAGTGGCACTGTCGCTAGATCTTCACTCCTTCTCCTCTTTGCTCTAAGGCAGTTCATCTAGAGATGATCCTTTTCTCCCCAAGCAAAACATTTGGAAGTGAAATTTTGTGGACGATCGCTCGCTGATATAGCAACTACTTCCCGTACACGATGGCTGTGATTTTCTTTTAGAGGATGGGCAAAAGCATCCAACAGCGACTTATGACGTCCTAATCTAACAGCAGCTCTAACTTCCAAGTGACGAAATCCAATAACGAAGGGTGGTACCAGCATGTCATCGCCCAGAGCAGAATTTGACCTATATGCTTTCCGGATGAGTTTCTCAATAGCAAGCCCACTGCTGTAAGCTCTTGCCACTCCATGGTATTCAATCCTACATTTGAGCCTGGAACACCTATTCTAGGTGCGCTTCCCATACGTCCATCAAATTCTCACAGGTCACATCATGACCTAGTACTTCAAGAACAGTCAAGGCGTGATTAACCAATTCAGTGTTCTATTAAATTAAACATTTTCAACACATCTCTATTCTCACAACCGATAAACATAAATAACGGCAACACTGATTGATTTTATCAATCCCTTTAATATGACCAATGTGGGTATTTGAAATGGTCCATAAAACCATCGAACCTCACACCATCTCAGACTAACAGCCTCCAATAACTATATTTCACGAATTTATTATAGATAACAATCTGCATGCATAATGTTACAGTAAAAATGCGAAGGTGACACGACGGAATAATGTGCCTACGCGCACCTATAACCCCCACCCACAGCCGCTCACACCACCTACCAGCTTTAAAAATAACATAATAAACCTTAACTCCGTAAACGTTAAAACCTCAGTAAGTAGCAAACGGATCGTTGTCAAGCAACCGCACAACAAAATCGTCCCCGACGATCGTGTCAATCGACTTTCAACTTTGCTACAACGTGACACGGTCGGGTAACAAACGCAAAATCGAACATTGGGAAGTAATGTAAACTAAAACGAACAGACACCATTCACGTCCTGTCGGGTACATAAACATTGCGTTAAATAAATCATTTGGGGCCATGTTTTGTGACGTCTGTATTTTTAGACGTTTCGTTCGTGGTTGTCATAGTTTGTTTTATGAGTTAGTAAAAATGTGTTCATTACTTTACGGGAGGCTTGGGATAGCACCGGCCCACACGTTGGACGTCAGTGTGACTGGCCCATACATGATGTTCGGATAAACTATAAGCAAAGATTAAATATAAAAAATAGATAACCTATTTTAAAATTATCGAAATAATTCTGAAAATTGTATTTGATGATAATAATCTAATAAATTCCTAGACACTTTCTAGAGTAAAAAAGGTTCGTGAATACATACAAGTTGATGAAGATAAAAATTTAATAGTAAATGAAATAAAATATATAGCTACTATTGTGTGTTTATATAGGTATAAAATTCGTCTGTTGCTGTCTTAAAACCATTATAGAATACTGGTGATTAAAATTTTACAACGCTCACAGTAATTAACAGCAGCAACATTTTACTGCAGCTATTTGCTGCAGTAAAATGTAAAATCGCTAACATTCAAACTGTGGACTCTGATAGCTCATCAACACACCTTGACGACCAAACTAAAATGAAGCGATCAAAGAAGAACCATGAGCGGGCGAGGGTACCGGGCGGGGCGGGGAGGGCGCGGCGCAGTGGTCTTGACATTAGAAACTTTCTCAAAGGCTAAACTTAAATGAAATGCATTTAAGTCCCACTTGATCTCGAGTTTCCTTTTGCTCTGGTAGATGCAAAAACTGTTGATCTGTCGTACATTGGGCAGACGTAATGGACTCATTTTCCCCATTCACGCAAATATCTATAGACTGAAGATAATATATATACATATATACATAAGCTAAACAACGTATAAGAAACTGTAACATTTTTTTAAAAGACTAATGACGTTACAATTATTCAGTAAAAACACCTGTAAAATTCGCTAGAATGGGTACTAAAGACTAATTTGATAAGAATTATAATTTTCTCAGTACGTAATTCGAAAAAGAGACCATCAAACGAGCCAATGTTATTTCCACCACAACGGCCGATGGTACATCGCCGTGTTCGGTTACCGAAGCTGATTAGTCCATCAACTCCCCATATGTCTAAAATAGCCAGAATAAAATAGGGCGTATCGTAAACCGAACTTAAACAAACTAACCGCGCCCGCACCGCAGCCGCCGTAGCCGCACGACGCGTTTTTTGTCCACTACTCAAACATGGTCGCTTTTTTAAGGGTTCCATTCCTTACCTCAACGAAAACATAATGATTATCGAATTTCATCATCATTGTCATGGACCCCTTGTCTATTTCTTTGATATGAGGAATGAAATAAACTTTCGCTTGCAATTTTCAGATTTCCGATAACATGAGAATCACTTCCGCGCTACAAAACATATAATAAAATTATTTTTATTAATTTGAAAGTTACATTAGTTAAGTTTAAGAGTAAAAGCTGCCTTATATATAGTTGCAGATTATTTTAAAGGCGTAATGAAAGACTCAGTAGCGTTTGCTTTGGAATCTTACAGAACAAGGAGAAGGTTCTGTGAGTGTACTCATAGTGTCATTAATATACAAGCTTTAGGGTTGGAGTAAAATTACGCTGAGACTTAGTATTAGTCAAAATTCATATTATTAAACAGAGACTTAGCAAAGGTTAAGCTAGTACGAGGTACTACGGGAGCAATATTTACTCCTAGAAAGTAGTGGGTTTGCTTATTCTCTGTATAATATGAATTTGGACTAATACTATAATTGCAAATTTTAGCGCCGATAGAGTTGTTCTCTATAACTGTTGTTTTTGTTGATGATAAGTTTCTGGGCATTCAAACAAATTAACAGAATAGGAATATACAATGTTTAATTCTTTGTTTATAATTATTTTTATGTACACAGAAATTTATCCTTAAATGAAATGAAATTTAAAAAAAAGTCTTAAATGAGCTTAAATTTACTAGTAAGGTAATTGAATTATCGTTTTGTTGTAATACTATATAGCAATGGTCTATTATATTTACTGTTAACAATTTCTCCTGATTCACGTTGGTGTGGCCAACGTGTATTTTATTTTCTTTGTTTCTTTGCATACTCAGCAACTTAACATTTTGGTATTCAGCCCAACTGTCTGGTCTGTAAGATGGCAACACGCGATATCCGATGCAGAGCCTGCTCGATAGTGTTGTGTCGCGCGCGTCCGGGACTTTTATTGCCATCCGCGACGAGTTATGGCCGCCACCCGCAGAAAGTTCGCCTTAAAACTTCTTTATTGGCACCACTCCAGAGGTCCCTATCTGGCTGATGTTAATTCATTCATTGCTCAGCTAAAAAAACATCATATTTTCCCGATAATGGCATATGTCGACGCCAGCGAACTCTGCGGTTGTAAATCTTAGAACGAAAAATAAATTGGAACTGATTCAACATTAAATATATGTTTGTTGTATGCGTTATATATTTGAAAAAAATAGTTTTACATTTTGCTGATTCCGAATTTGTTTCTCCATTAAAGATGACATTTCTCCATTTAAGATATTATTCTGCAATTATTACAAAACAAAAGAAACCTTCTTCTAGAATTCGAATCAAATCAAAATGTATAAACAACATATCAAGTTTTGTAAACAACAGTAGAATACTTACTTATTAAACTTTTTTTAAACGTTAAAACTATATTTTATATATTTTTCGTAAATACCTATCCTTTTTATAGATATTTACACTGGCAAATGTATATCTCATTCCAAAAAAAAAGAAAGGAAAGAAAAAGCAAGTCTCATTAACCTGCTCTGCTCAACTCCACTATATCAAAAATTAAAACACAAAAAAATATTCTTTTCTAAATGTGTCATAGTTACTTTACCAAGTTACTACTCAATCGATGCATTCCTGATCAGCGACCGGGTGTGACTACACTAGTACAAAATAAAGGCATTTCCAAGTAATTTTGCCAAAAAAAACAGCTGTTGTGTAAACATCCGAGAGCCGGGACCAATGCACGTCGGATTCCCGACGGATTTTAGGGGTCAGCGATCGTGGGTACAAAAATATTCGCTGTATTAGTTCAATGGTTTTTCTGAATCAAAAAAATGAGCAATTTGAACGTTTCAAAATATTATTTCAGTTCCACTTTAAATCAATATAGTTTTTTTCTGCTTTTTCATCTTCTGTTCTTTTTTCAACATATAAACTTTAACTGTTTTTAAGATTTTTCTATAACTATATTTTAGATTGACAGTTAGGATAGTTGTTAATTTAACCTTTTCTTAAATTTTGATCTGCTATTAGACACCACACACAAATATATAAACGCTGTGAACCGTGAACATGTCTCGAAATACATTGCTAAGAGTATGGTTAACCAACGGAACCCATTGAAAAACTCTCCAATACAAATTCACCTGTTTTTTCTATCGCCTCACCGAAGATTTATGGGTAGTGACAAAGTCAATTTTATGGCGCGATGTGGAGATAGGGCACGCTCGCCCTTATGGCTTAGTGGTCGCAGTACCTACCCCGTGCGCCATCCACTACCTGCGTGACGGATCACTTCCGCACTGCGAACCTACTCCCATTCAATTGAAATATTACGACGTTCAATTGGCATATATTTTATTTTATGTTCAATGTCAAAACTTGCTTCGACAATTCACGGAATTAGAACTCTACAATTTGTCGAGTGGTTTTGACTTAATGCAATTTCAATGTACCTAGTTTTTCTATCATTACGTAAGTATTCTATTTTTATATATATTTACAAATCTAGGACTTCAAAAAATTTAGACAATTTTGCGACATACGTTTGTTTAATAAATCTTACATATATATATTAATTTATATAAATTATAAACAACTTTGTAGACATAATCGGTTTGTTTACTAAAATGCGTTCACGTATATATAACGCAGATGTGTGTTTTATGTTGTACATACATCAGACAGATGTATCTGAAACCATTTGAAATATGTATATTTATTTCAATACTTATCAAAAATGCAAGACATTAATGTCAATATTTAATGATTTATTTACATATATAGATACCGAGTGACGTAAGCACTCACGGACCTCGTCTAATTTCACTCAATAAAAATTCTTGAACACACAGCAGCACATCAATTACAACTATCAAAACTAAATTTCTGCAATTTTGAATTTAACTATCAACAGACTGAATAACTAATAGATTGAATGACTAAATTAGTCAATCTGCTGATAGTCAAAATTACAGTAATTTAGTTTTAATATTTGTAATTGATGTGCTGTTGTGCGTACAAGATTTTTTATTGTGAGAGATTAAACGTGCTGTTGACTGTATGTATTAGCGTTACAAACTGTCGTCTTTATATCCGACGAGTAAGATATCTCGACTAGTATCTTGTAATTAATATGTCACCAAGGAGTCCTCGAGAGAGGTCGATTCAAGGAAACGCACGCACTGAACTAATATTATCACACGGAATATCTCACGTGGCCGCTACCGTTTCTGGGAACCACTTTTTATTTCTGTCGCCTGATTCCGTCACATTCGAACGGAGAATTTCTCTTTTCGTTTGGTGCCTTTCTGCGCTGTCTGTCTGTGATCTGTGACACCTGCGTTGGTATTTTAAAAAATATTGATTAGTTGATTTTTTTTATTAGTGTGCATTCGTTAAGCTCGTCGTGCTAACATTCGACACGAAATATTTGAAATCATAAATATTAAATGAATTGAGGAAAAATATTATTTATGAAGTAAGGTAATATAACCTTATTATTTATTTAAGTGATTCTAATTTCTAATCTAAATAAAATCTAATTTCGATATTTTCGTTTTTATTTTTATTTATAAAAACGGAAATAATAGGGGAGTATAAGTTTTTTTTATTATTACATTATTGTCACTACATTGTATAAAACAAAGTCGCTTTCCGTCTGTCTGTCCATATGTATGTTGAGATCTTAAAAACTACGAAACGGATTTTGATAAAGTCTTTCTATAGATAGGGTGGTTCAAAAGGAAGGTTTTAATGCATAATACAAGACCACGGGGACGAAGTCGCTGACGAAAGTTAGTTATTGAATAAGGAAATACCGCTTTGTGAAACAAAACTTCACTTTAAACAATGATAATTCAACAAAATACATAGTCTTGCCATAAATATTGTTATATAGGAAATCATTTTTTTTTTATTAAACGTAACATTTCTTACTATTACAGCGTGTTAGTTTATTAAATTAATATAAAGCCATTAAAAATATATATATGTATATATATATATAGCTTATTCGAAGTGGTCCCCATCGACTGCAATATAGTCCAGTTATCAAAAGACGCACGGACTCTTTCCATGGGAAAATATATTTTAATCGTATGGGTTATTTTAGGGATTCCAAATTATCATGGCGTTTCGAACATGCCCAACTTCTAAAACTGGTCACAAATGATCTGAACTAGATGACGGCCGTTCTTGAGCTTTGATGAAGTTCGGTACGATCATTTCCAACTGAGGTTTTTTTTTTAATCTGGTTTTCCCACCGTTTAGCAGGCTAGCTTTTTTGCCTTGTCTTCCAACCTAGGTTAGGTGGATCGAGCTTTATGACCTGGCGCTGAGTCTTGCTGAAATGACTATTCTTGGATATTAAACATGATGTTGATAAGGGGCTCACCTACCTCCACGAGAATAGTTATACTGTTGACTAATCGTGAAACTTCTTTAGAGTTTTGGACATAAATACAGTCGTATTGTTTGTCATATTGCGCAATTGTAAAAATTTTGTCAGCCGTAAACAATTTTTTTCTGTGACCTCCCTTTGCTTACCACTTAAGTAGTTGTTTTGATTTTACCAGCCTTTTAAATTATCTATTAAGAAGTGACCAGTGCATCTCTTGTAAACTGCAAGTCCTGAATCATCTTTTAAAACACGCAACATGGTTCTAGTTGCTATCTTCATCTCCCGAGATTAAATCTTTTGCTTTTGGACAGGATTTCTTCGAATTCTTTCCCTCGCTGCTTTGATCGCCTTCTTCGTAAGAACACTACGTGGACGGCCATATCAGTTCCATTACCCGTAGCCCGATACACATACACAAACATAGGCGCTCGCCCATACGCTTGGTATTAGTCAAGGTTTTGAAAATTGTGTTAGGCTCCATACCTACTTTATGTTCTCTTTTTCACCCCACTTCATTTTAAAATAACAAAAAAAATATAATCTATTATCGCGAAAATAGAAAAAGACTTTAAGCGGTCAATATAAAAATGACACATTCGAAATTCAAAAGTAATATTTTGTTTATTTTTAATTCTATCGGAACATTTTTTCCTATAATTTCTTTCGTTCCGTTAGAAATTACTACATCACATTATTAACCCCCCACGGTTAGCGATTTATGTAAATGCTCGCATGCGTCTGGTCCACGTTTAATATGGAGTTTGATTAATGATCGGTTATTTTTGGCACGTTGATCGTCTCGAGCAGCGCCAGATCCGTTGGTGTTCCCATCAATCTCACATAACAACGAGACAGCATCATGGTGACCATTCACGTGGATCATTATTTCTTTCGCTGAAAATGTTATTGCACTCGCATTATTGATAAGAAAGACAAATCTGTCTCTTTACAACAATATTATATTGACTATTTTTATTTGCGTTAGTGTCTGCACATCAATTTAGATTTCACACCAAAATCAATTAAACAATGAAAACTGGTACATTAATAGAATTGACCTTGGTAAAAAAAACGTATGTTTCTTGACAAAAAAGGTTAATTATACTTTATTTATATGGCTGAAAACTTCAACGCATTTAGCTTTATAAACTTCACCGCATTAAGCTTTATATGGTATGTCTTCACAAATTTTTATTAGTATTAATCTACATTCACGAAGAATTTAAAAGCGATGACAACGCAATCTTTACTACGGTTACTCAGGTTTCGTTGGATGAAAATACCTGAATATAAAATAAAGAAAAAATAAACACGCATGCCAGTGTCTCACTCGAGATATTTGTCGCGATCCAGTTAAATCCAATTACTGAATCGGGAGCTCACGAATGAGGCACAATCGATTCGAATCTGTCACGAATTTTGCGACTTGTCCGTTTTAAATGAGAAATCGATAAGTGAAAAACCATCGGTACGGCGGCGGGCAGCGGGCGTGTGCTCGTTACACTTAATTGGATTGTGTTTAATACAATTAAAGCGACGTGTCGATCTAGTTTTAATGTG